TTCAATACTTATTTCCTCCATTGTATACAGTACGTGTCACGCATGACATGCCGATATCTTAGATTTCCCAACCGTACGTACTGTACATGATTTTGTTTTTATGTATTACCCTGTATGGATGTGTGGCAAAATGTCTTATCGTTTATTTAAATAGTTTTTCCCTTTTAGGCCAGAAAATTATCTTTCACAAAAATAATGAAAATATTGGAAATTAAAACATTTTTAATGTCGCGAGATTGGATTTTAAAAAATCCGCGATGTACTGAGGAAGCGAAAGTAGAACCGCGATAAAGAGAGGGACCACTGTAATGTGAAACTTATCACGTAATTACGTGAAACTTATTACGAAATAACGTGAAACTTATCACGAAATATATAATAATAATAATGGATTATACGTCATGAAAGAAAGAAAGGGCCAAGGGGCATACACTAAGGTTTCTCGTGAGCACAAGATATACCTTCTCGTGAGCACAAGAAAGTACCTCGTGAGCACGAGATATGTTTCTTTTTTTTTCCTCATGTCCCTTTAGGGGCTCCATAGATATTTAATTGAGGGTCCATGTTTTAAAAACAAACTTAAAAAACTCGTATAAAATAGCATATAGTAATATAGCTAATATTAAATTAATACTAAATACAAAAGCACGAATAATGTCTAGATATTATTAAACAAAGGAATTGTATTGGAATCCGATATAAGTTTTAATACCATAAGTAATAATATTAGGTAATATTTTAACTATTACTGTGAAGGATTTGTCTCAGCCAAAAACCAACATCTAAATCTGTCACACATTTACTGCATTAACTAACATGTTCATCCAGTTTTAACCTCATCATATGTATAGTAAAATACACTCATTTACAGCAGATAAAACACTGTATACAGGTAAGTCTCTTCAAGAAGAACCATTTCTTGTCAAACCCCAAAAACAGAAATTTAAGTCTTGGTCTGATTGGGATATATTTTCATCTATACTTTTTTTTTTTTACTAGTATGCATATGAGTGTAAGCAGTGTTTTCTACTGCAGTAATGATGTCACTTTGTGGCTTTTTGCTTTAGGTTTCAGCTCTAAAGCAACCACATGGTTTGGAATGAAAGTTCAAAAAAAGTTAAAACTTTTCTTACAGATGTCAATCTTGGCAACAAAAAAGATTGACAGAATTTCTTTTTCTATTCATGTGAGAAATGAAACACAGTAATGTAAGTATATAAGACTGTTGCTTGTGTGGAAAAAGTTTTTTCTGCTGAACATATTCTCTGTAAACATCTTATTTAAAGCAATGCATATTTACATTAAAACCATTTTTAATTAATAAATGGTTTTAATCAGTATAATGTGGCGCTTTGGCCCAGAGGCAATGTCTCTGTCATTGGTGTGGAACCCCAGGGTTCACCTCCTGGGCAAGTTCGAATCCCGTTTAGGGCGGTTGGTACCTTCCAGTGGACTCACCACCCGCAGGAAGGTTCAGGGGGGTTGGTAC